TATAATAAATAGCTTTCACCTCAAAGCCTCTTGGGGTCAAATTACCATATCATGCTAACTGTGCAAATTTTTAAATGAAATATTTCATGCAACAACATACCTCAGGGGAGACTTCTGTAATTCCAAACTGGGATAAACTTTGATGCAAAACATTGATATTAAGTGAACGCAGCACTTCCTCGGATGGCAGAGCATCGGAAATTCCTGTTTTTCGGTTTATGGGAGACACAAATAGTTCGATACTGTTCTTCTTTCCCTAGTAAAAGCAGATTATTTGTATGCGTTATAGACATTTTGAACAATTTCCTTTAGAAACATTAAAGAAAATCAGAATCCTAGAATTATAAATGGCATTTTGGAGATCACATTCATTAGTTTTTCTCTGGTAGACTTAATATTTCCAGTGCAACATCTAAAATTTTTAAGTGGCCTTCTTTCAATGAGTTGGCACGCCAAGAGTTATAATTTTATATTTCACTTTGTGCTGGTTTATTTTCCATTTGATACTGTAATTTTTTGAAATATATTGTTTAGATGTTCCTGAGTAGTTATGTTTAAAGAAGCATTTTAAAATTAAATGAATTAAATAAAACTTGCTGTAATAGTAAGTTTACAGATTAGATACCTCCACCCTCTCAATTTTTTTAATAATTTGTGTTAATGTGAAGGTTGGACAAGCTAAGGAAGGTGGTGCTAGGTGAGCTTTGAAATCCTTTCCCTGATTCTGTTCTGCACCTCAAATATGCCACACTTTTAAAATCTATCCTTTGGTAGAAATGCATAAGTTGTGTAGTGATATCATGATACTTTTCCTGTTAGTATCACCTTATTAGCTGAAATGGAGACAGAGGATTTCTTCCCATAAATAATAGGCTGATATGCTACATACCTAAACACATAAAACACCAGATAAAAATGACATTGTCGTTGATCATATTCTCTTTTACAACTTATACAATGCACTTGTAGAAGGAAATTGTTAGTTTTGTCTTTTTGACACATGGAGTTCTGCTGGAAAATTTTCTTTTAACACAATTTATCAGACTTTCAGCCAGGTACAAAATGGAGTGTCAATGTACTACTAGCAACCCAGAAAAAATGTTTCCATGTTTGCAGGGAACAATAGACAACGACTAAACACTGATGTGAAACATGTTTATAATAATTTAAATAGTTTATGACCTAATAACAATAGTAGGAACAGAGCACTTGTTTTGTGCTTGACATGCTGCTCTGTGCCTTAAATCTGCTATCTCATTTAATGCTCAAAACACCCCCCAGGAGACAGGTATTATGGTTATTTCTGTTTTACAAATGAAATGCAAGTGGTTTGCCCACAGTCACACAGCTGAAACTTGGCCATGCCGGAAATGGAGTACAGGTCCGTCTCCAAAACACATGCTCTTAGCTGTTAACTGCTGTGCTCTGCTGCCTCAGGCATTGTAACTCTACCTATTATTATAACTATGCTACTAACACTTATTATTATTTAACAATGCTACTAACATTCTCCATGGATATGCATATCCCTCCCTGGGTGTGTCAAATTCTTCATTCGTCCCCGCAAACAGCTATTATGCTCATTAAATCTATATGCATAAAAGGATATCTAAGATACATGTCTAAATAAGTTTATATTAAAAATTTACATCTAGATCCAAGACATTTATAACACCTAAATCTTCTCAACTTGAGCAAGGTGTGCTGTGGGTATAAGTAACCTACTTCACTCCCTCAGCATGTTAGGGAATGCTATATTTCCTCTTCTGTGGTACTGAGTTAAAATTTTTAAAAAACTTATTGAGTTCTAGAACATTGTTGTCTCACAAAATAACAGTTTTTATGGGGAATGAAACAACTCTGCCTCCAAACGCAGGAAAATGAAAAGAAACATAAACTTCAAATCAAAACAAAAACCGGATTCTCTCCATAGCTGGGAATGCAGAGGTTGATTTGGTGGAAGGCTCAGGTCCTGCAGGAGCACAGCAATTTAAGGCAGAGAGAATGTGCAGTGCTCGCCTGTATCCCATTGCAGTGGAAAGGAAGAACAATGTTAAAACTGTACAGTGATTCTGAAGTCCCTTTTCACATGTAACTTAGATGACCAGATTTTTACAAAGAGAAAATCATCTGATTTTTTTTTTTTCTTCTGCTCTCACACACCTCCAAGTGCAGATGGGAACATGTATTTGTATGACATCCGGGTTCCCAAACACTGTGGAGAGCAGTGAAAGAATGGATGTAGGTGATTGACAGGTTTAGAGTGGGCCCTGTACAACAGATCGTTTGGGTTTACCTCATCCCCACTCAGATACCCATCCTAGTTTTCTCTTGGCTTTTCTAGACTACCAGTTCTTGCATTCCGTCTGGGCTGCATTTCTCAAAGGTCAGTTCTTCTTTACTCTTTATTCAAAATCCTCTGCCTTGTGCATCAAATGTCCATCATTCTATGCACACACTTGAAGGGGTTTTAATAGATACTGTCTGGAAACAGTGTCTTCCCTAATACAGAAGGTGTCACTCTAATGGAGAATATTTTGGGAGTAGTATCAGGTTGGTAAGGCAAGTATCAGTATTTCGGGCCCCTTCATACCTATCAGAGTAGTTAGCCTTGAACTATGACAGAGTTGACAAGCTTTTCCTATAAAGGGCCAGATAGTAATGAGTTTAGGCTTTATGGGTCAAACAATCCCTTGTAACTCCTCCACTCTGCCATTGTAGCATAAAAGCAGCCATGGGCAGCGTGTAAATGAGTGGATGTGGCTTGTTCCATAAAACTTTACAAAAAAGTTTATCAGAAAAAGTAAATGCCAAATTTGGTTCACCAGCCATAGAACTGTAGAATGAACCCTCCAATGATAAAAAACACAGCTTGGATTTGGGGGTTATGAAACGTAGGCATCTTACAATGAGGCGATTGATGTGCACTTGCTGGGGTAAGAGTCCTAAGGCTGCAGCCACTCCTTGGCGGAATATCCGAAGCAAGGTTATGTTCAGCTTGTTTACATCCATTTGTAGTGTCTGGAAAACAAAGACAAAAAGAAATCCAAATTATAGTAAGTGTTTGCTTTGGGACATTCAGTTCTTGATTGATGATTGACCACAACAATTTCTGTGACTCTGGTAAATTCACACTCATGGCGCTTTATTTTATTTTTGATAGAAATAAAATGATAGAAACATTTTATGTGAAATTTTATTTTTATTTTTTTAATATTTAAAGACAGGGTCTCACTCTGTCACCGAGACAGGAGAGCAGTGATGTGATTATAGCTCACTTTTACCTCAAACTCCTGGGCTCAAGTGATCCTCCTGCTTCAACCTCCTGAGTAGTAGGGACTACAGGCTCCTGTCACCATGCCTGGCTAATTTTTTTACTTTTTGTAGAGACAGAGTTTTTCTGTGTTGCTCAGGCTGGTCTCAAACTCCTGACCTCAAGCAATCCTTCCACCTCGGTCTCTCAAAGTGCTGGCATTATAGCCGTTAGCCACTGTGCCTGGCCTTAAGTGAAATTTCAAATGGTATTAGTTAAAAAGATGGTGTATTATATGATAATGCAATTTGTCTAGTTGTAATAAAAAACACTAATGAATGGTCAATTCATAAAGAATTTCATTGAGATGTGCCTTGATTTATTTTGCTTTAGCTTAGGTCCAGATGACAGAATGGAATCTGTGGCCAAGCATATTCAGTTATCCATCTTTAATTTGTGTTCACACACAGTCACAGAGAGAAAGATGCTGTGTGAGTTCCATAAGGTCTGTCTTGGCAGTTTCTTTATATAGTAATCTGCTGCCAGTGCAAGGCAAAAGAATGAGGTGCGATACTGCATTTTCAATCTCTGGTGAAGAAGCCAGTCGTACTGATGAGTTGGTCTAACGTCAATGTTCCTTATTCAGTTGTTTGGGCAAATCTCTTAACTTTCAGGTTTGCTTTGGAAAAAAATCTAAATATTAAAAAATTCCTAATATACAAATCAAATTGTGACATTAGTAATACAGCCTTAATTTAAAACATGAGTACTATTACTACATTTAAGCCATGAAGTAAATTATCATGTATTTTAAAAAATACAATTATTTGAGATAGATACATGCAAGGTAAACCAAATCTTTATGCATTTCTTTTATTCTTATAATGCTTAATTCACTAATTTGACTATTCTAGGCTATCAAAAACTATTGGATGGCTGCAATATAACCTATTTGACAAAGCAAGGCATGCTTTTTTTCCTATTTTTTTAAAATTTTTAATTATTATAGGTACACAGTAGCTGTATATCTTTATAGTGTATATGTGATGTTTTGATACAG